TCCATGCTTCATTTCCTGTCCTGACTTCCCTCAGTGGTGGACTACAATATGGAAGTGTAAGCAAAATAAACCTTTCCTCAAGTTGTGTTCAGTCAGTGTTTTATCAAAATGATAAAAAACTGTGACTAAGAGAATTATTTTCTTAAGCTGTTTTGACAGATTAGGTGGATGAGTATTTTGTTTTTATGTGTGTATGTGTACCACAGCATGCCTGGTGTCCATGGAGATCTTTTCTGATTGAATATCCCAGAACCGAAGTTACAGAGGTAATGAGCACCGTGTGAGTGCCAGGAACTGAAACCAGGTCCTCTGCGAGAGTGTCAAGTGCTCGCGGCCACTGAATTATCTCTTTAGCCCTCCTTTCTGATTTTAGAAAAATTTCCCAGGGGTTAGATGTAGAGTTGTGGTTAACTTGGGTAACGTATGCAAGGCTCTGGTATCAAGCCTTGTCAAAAGAGAACAAGGCGTGTAGGAAGTGGGAGGGTGGGCATTTGGATGGGGAAACGGCAGTGTCTAAGCGTACTTACTGCTCCTGCAGAAGACCCAGGCTCATTTTCCAGCCCCTGCATGGCAGCTCACAACTGTCTCTAACTCTAGTCCTAAGCGCTCTGCTGGCCTCTCCTGGCTTCTGTGAGCACTGCGCACACATGGTGCGCACACATGCATGGAGGCACACTTGTGCCATACACAGAAATTTTAAAGATTGTCCTTTACGGTGAGTGTGTTGTTGCCTATAGGTTTTTGTAGTTGCTTTTTCTCAGATTAGGGAAGTCGGCTGTTGGGAGATTACTGAGACGTTGATCACAACTGGTTACTTTTGTCAGTGTTTCTATTTTTTTTCAGAAAAATTTTTGTGGACAAAAGCCCCATCCCTAATCAAGAAGCTTTTTACAGCTGATAGCAGCTGGGAAAGGGGAATTAGTTTTTCTCTAATGGAGGGACACTGGGTATATATATGAACCACACTCCAGGGCAGGCCCGGTGCTCAGGAGTAGTTGGCCAACATAGGACATCCCATGTTCCTTGCATATTCTGGTTTGTTTGGTTTGCTATTTTTACTCATTTTATCCTTTTATTTTTGAGAAAGATGATAGCTGTAGGGAGGTGGGAAGAACTTTGGAGGAGTTGGGTGAGGGAAATATGATCAAAACATGAAAGTTTTTTAAAAGCCAGTAAATGCAAACAATTTTTAAAAAGTTATTTGGAAGTTGGCAGGATGGCTCAGTGAGTAAAGGTGTTTGCTGCACACTGATGATCTGAGTTCAGTCCTCAAAGCCCACATACAAGAAGGAGGAAAAGACAACTTGATGAAGTTTTCTGATTTCCATATGTGCACCATGGCATAGACCTGCCCCACCGTGTGCACCACGCACACAGTGAGGATAAACTTAAAGCGTCTGAATTTTCTTCCACTGATGCTCTTAAGAGATTACTTGTTTTTAAAAAAGATTTATTTATTATTTATACGGTATTCTGCCTGCATGTGTGCCTACACATCAGAAAAGGGCACCAGATCTCATTATAGGTGGTTATGAGCCACCATGTGGTTGCTGGGAATGGAACTCAGGACCTTTGGAAGAACAGCCAGTACTCTTAACCTTTGAGCCAACTCTCAGCCCTTAAGAGGTTAATTAAATTTGGGTGTTTGAATTGAATTGAGTTGATATTGAATTCAGTATTCAATTTCTGGGCTCTTATTGTTATGGTAAGTTATCCTCTCTCTCTCTCTCTCTCTCTGTGTGTGTGTGTGTGTGTGTGTTTTGAGACATGCTTTCCTGTGTAGCCCTGGCGGTCCTGGAACTCACTAGATCAGGCTGGACTTGAACTTACAGAACTGCCTGCCTCTGCCTCCTGAGTGCTGGGATTAAAGGTGTGAGCCACCACTGCCCGTCTCCTTTTTATGTTTTAAGTTAAGTTTCAGTTAGCTTTGGGCTCTTGTTCATAGTTTATAGTTTTAAAAATGTACTTAGTTTTAATACTAGAATGATGTTGGCTTCATGAATGGGATATGCTTCATTTTTCTCAATTTGTATAAGGTTGAAAGTACTTTTTCTTTAAATCATTGAAGCCATCTGGGCTTGGCATTGTCTCTGGGAATTTTTTGCTTGTTTGTTTTTGTTTTGTTTCAGACAGTGTTTCTTTGTGTAGCTTTGGCTGTCCTGGACACACTTTGTAGCCTGGCCTCAAACTCACAGTGAATGCCTTTGCCTCCCTGAGTGCTGTGCTGGGATTAAAGGTGTGTGTTACCACACCTGGCTAAAATATTATTTTTCTTTTAAGTTTAAAAGTTATATTTGAAGAAAATAACTAACCCATATGCAGCTATAAGAACTAATAGAACTTTTGCGTCTGGAGAGATGGCTTGGTTGAATGTGCTGGCTGCTCTTCCAGAGGTCCCAGGTTTAATTCCCTCTACCCACATGGCGGCACACAACCATCTGTAATAGAAAGCTGTATACCGTATAACCTTTAACCAGTACCCCAATGGTAACTTCCTTTGAAATATAATAACCAGGAAACTGATGGAATTCACTTTCCGTATTCAGATTTTGTAATTTTACACAAATTCATTTTTATGTGTACATTCAGTTTCATGTAGTGTAGTCTGATATTTGATAGATTAATGTTAATTTTAGTTCACTAATTATGATTAATGTGCTTAAAATATAAAATTCTATCACAAGGATCTTTTTTTTAAGATTTATTTATTTATTATGTCTATATACAGTGTTCTGTCTCCATGTATACCTGTGTGCCAAAGAGGCCACCAAATCTCATTCTAGATGGTTGTGAGCCATCATGTGGTTGCTGGGAATTGAACTCAGGACCTCTGGAAGAGCAGACTGTGTTCTTAACCTCTGAGCTATCTCTCCAGCCCCACAAGGATCTTTTGTGCAACCCTCTTTATACCCTTCTTTTACTGCTGTAACCCCTGACAAGCACAATTTTATTCTCCACACATACAGTTTTGTCATTTCATAGATGTCTTATATTGGTTTTTGTGGCGTGTGACTGTACTCTGAACTACCTAGGAGAATAAGGCAGCTAGATCATTTAAGCCCACACGTTTGACACCAACTTGGGCAAATAAAGATGTACCCATCTCAAAAGAAAGAAGGGTATTATATAGACACATAATATGTGTAGCTTTATAAATGATGACATTTAGCATTTTCAGATAAGATTTTCACCTGCGTAATTGTCCTTAAATGTGTCTACATTATGTACATTAATAATTTATTCCTTTTTATTGTTAAAGTTAGTGGTTCATAGTATGGATGTTTGTCCATTCAGCAGTTTTTTTTAAATTTTTTTATTTTTTAATATTTTTATTTTTAAATAATTTTATGCATTCACTTGTATCCCAGCTGTAGCCCACTCCCTCTTTCCCTCCCATTCCTTCCCTCCCTCCCTCATCTCCTCCCTGCCCCCTTCCGAGTCCACTGAGAGGGAGTATCCTCCTCTTCTTCGGTCTGGCCCTAGCTTATCAGGTATTTTCAGGATGGTTACAGTGTCCTTATCTGTGGCCTAGCAAGGCTGTTCCTGGGGTGGGGGTGGGGGGAGCTCAATGAGCCAGACACTGAGTTCATGTCAGAAGCAATTCCTGTCCCCCTTACTAGGGCACCCACTTGGATACTGACCTGCCATGGGCTATGTCTGATCAGGGGTTGCAGGTTATATCCGTGCATGGTCCTTGGTGGGATAAACAGTCTCAGAGAAGACCCCTGTGCCCAGATATATTTGGACCTTGTGGGGCTCCCTCTAGGTTATACTAATTCCTCCTTCCTTCATATGATTCCCTACACTCTGCTGAAGGCTTGTTTATGGGTCTCAGCATCTGCTTTGATACACTGCTAGGTAGAGTCTTTCAGGTGTTCAGCAGTTTTTAGATAGTTGGGTTGTTTCTAATTTGCGGTTAAGATAAAGCTGCTTGTGCATTTGTGGTGCACATTTTAATCCCAGCACTTGGGAGGCAGAGAGAGATGGATTTCTGAGGTCAAGGCCAGCCTGGTCTATAGGGTGAGTTCTGGTACAGCCAGGACTACACAGAGAAACCAACAAACCCAAACTGAAGGAAGTCACACAAATTAAATTGAGGATCCTTGAATGACAGGAAAGTGTGACACAGAAGCTTGTCCTTCATGACAGAATGTAGAACTTAGTATAATTTTGATAACTCATCAGCCTGATTGTGCAGTTAATTGCAGCTCTTTGTTATAAATTCAGCTTTCATTGCAGCTGCCAAATAAGCATGCTTTCTGGCCAGTCTTTGGTAAAGATGATTCATTTTTTTTTTTAGAGGGAGTTATTTCTCATTTTTTGGAAAAGAAACTTAAACCTATTTTCACAGCATTTAAACTATTTTGCTCTTACTAGACATTCAGGCTGATTTCACTTATATATTTTCTACTATATATTTAAAATATTGGGCTCAGCGGTAGAACACTTATTCTTGCAAAGGACCTGAGTTTGCACACGGTGTACATACATGCAAGTAAGTAAAACACTTGGGCCTAAAGTAAAAATGCATAAATCTTACTAAAAAAATGGTGCATTATTTTTTTAGCTTATTACTGTTTGCTACCCTGTTTAAAATTGAGAACCTCAACCCCCCCCACCAGCCCTCTTTCATCCCTGTGTTCTGCTTTATGTTTCTACCTAATGAATTCATAACTAAGACACCTTTTATTGTCTTTACCCTTGCCAAGGGAAGACTGCATTCCCAGCTTCTAGAACATTATCTGGAACACTGAGTACTGACTATTTGTTAAATTAGTAGATGAAGAAACAGGAATTTACTGTGATTCAGATACCATGTTGTCTTTTGTAAATTAGTTATGCTAATGAGGAAATAAACCTTAGGGGGTTAATTTGTCTAATACCGTTCACTTTGTAAATGGTAGAGCTGAAATTACAGGTCGGGTTATGTTGTGTCGGGTCTTAGGCTCTTGATTTCAGTGGAGATTGTATGGTTTATTGAACTCTTTCTTTTTAAACAGGAAGAAGAGAATTTATCCAAAGATTAAAACTTGAAGCAACCTTAAATGTGCATGATGGCTGTGTAAGTAATGGTTAATTCTTAACTAGAAATAGCTTTCATAGTGTGTTTAAATGACTGAGAAAATGTCCTAATCTTCCTAGAATGGATTGTAACTGACTTTTCAGAATGGGAAAGTAGTTAAGGGATGGTGACAGTGTGAAAAGGACAGAGGATCAGGAATTCAGGTTTTTCCTCAGCTATGTAGTATGTTCAAACCCAACCTGACCTACACACACAAAATAAAATCAAAACACAAGTATATTTGGAATTTGTTTTCCTTGAAAATTTTATAAGAATGTTTTGAATATATTCACACACACATCTTTTCCATGAAAGCATATTTTTGAATTTAGAAAAGTGTGTGTAAGGTTTGGTTTTGTGCTGTTTGAAGGCCAGGTGAGTTTTCTCTTCATGACGCTTCCACTTCATTCACTCTATTGAAGTTGCTCTTGTTAGGCTTGCTATGACTCTTACCTCTAGAGACCAAAACATCTTAGAAACTTAGCTGTCTCTGGGTGCAGTGGCACATGCCTGTAATCCCAACACTTGGGGGCAGAGACAGGCAGATCTCTGTGCGTTTGAGGTCAGCCTGGCCTACAGAGTGAGTTCAGGAGAGAGAAACCCTGTCTCAAAAAAAAAAAAAAAAAAAAAGGAGAGAGAGAGAAAGAAGGAAAGAAACTTAGCTGTCATTAGAATTTCTCCTCATTGTTGAAATGCTTTTCTGATTATATTTTATATATATATATTTTATATATATATATATATATATATATATATATATATATATGGTGAATATATATATATGGTGACTATATTGACCTTGTTTTCTCTGCCTCATTGACCCATTTCAGTTGTGTCTTCTTAGTTGACTGGTCTACTTCTTTAAAACAAATGTTTAAACTACGTCTCAAAAAGCTAAAACAAACAACATTTTAAGTAACATTTAGACTCTGTGTGTATGTGTGTTTTTGTGTGTGTGTCTGTCTATATTCTTCTAAAGAAGGACTTGGTATGTAGTGCAGGCTGGACTGGAACTCACTGCAGGCTGAGCTATCCTTGGATTTGTGATCTAATTGCCACAGCTTGTCAAGGGTGAGGATTACAGGCATGCATCTCATACCTGGCTTCCATCTTGTCTTATGTATTTTATGTCTTATAACCAGAAGTCTCTCTTTGAAGTGTTACAGAAAAGCTTTCCATAATTAAAAAGCATACCACCTATAATCAATATCTTTATGCTTTTTTCCTGGTATTTACTATATGACATTATAATTGTTTAAACATATGTATTCATAGTCAACATACTTGCCCCTCTGCCTTTGCACATTTGGACTGAGAAAACCTCTTCAGAAAGCTACTAAATGAATAAATATCCAGAAAAGTAAGTGTCCCGGAATTCTTACACATATGGGGCACTCAGGAATTATTCACTGAAGAGGGCAAGAGTGTGTTCTGTGCCAGGTTTTATACCCTCTGGGAGCCAAAGACCAAATCTTTCACCTTAACCCAGAGAAAGATTTCTAAATGTTAGTTGCAAACAGATTTGCAAGTGTCTATATCTTTTCATCTTTACGTTTTTCTTTCAGGTTTTACTGTGTTCTCAAGTATATTGCTGAAGAAAGTAAACTTTCTCACAAATTCAAACCAACCTCCTTTTTCTTTGCATTCACACCTGATTTATGATTTGAGTGGGCATAAAATTATAGGTTGGACATTATGTTCACTCGGTAATATTACAGCCTCTACACGTGCAGCCTGACATTTAGTGTAGCTGATAAGAATGATGACACTCCAACCCATTTTTAAGTTGCTTTTGTGAGTTAATTTATTGTATTAAAATTTTAAAGATTTTAAAGAGTTTATTGCTGTGGACAGTGGCTGCAGTGGGAGCTAAAGCTGGTCCAAGATAAGTTTTGTAATCAGGCTTGGGACCTGCAGCACTCCAGCCTCTGCACATTGTAAGCTCTGACCAGTGAGTCAGCCTTGGGTGGACTCTTTCCAGGGCTTTCTTCACAGACTTAAAGTGCTTTGCTGCGCCCCAGTTTCCTCTGAGCACTCTGAATCTTTAGTTTGCAAAATATTTCTGCCCTTTCTCGATTTAGTCCTTCGGTGTTTCCATCAAACATGGATTATATACCTTTGTGTTTGTGTCACAGCCCTTGTACATTCTGATTGCTCACCTCCCCACACCCCATACTTTGTTCTCTCTGTAGTTTTTAAGGTTTCTATATATCCTAAAGTCAGAGATTCGTTCAACTATGTCCAGTATGCTAATGAACCTATCAAAGCCATTCTTTATTTCTGTTAAACTTGTTTTTGCTCTCTAGCTTTACTTTACTGTTCTTTCTTTTAGAATGCCCCTCTTTGCTTTAGCTCACCTATTGCATATTGTCTACTGTATGAACACCCTAAGCATATTATAATTCAAGTTTTCGTGCTTAGAACTTTCCTGCAGAGGGGACAATTTCTCTCAGGTTGGGAATGCCTGGTGTCTTTGGTCATAGTGACAGTGGTTTGACTTGAGGATCCAAGATAAAATGTTGGTTTTTGCAGTAGTCTTTGGAGCCTTTTAGGATATAACAGTGACCTTATGAATCAAGACCTGGTTTCAGTCTGTGAACTTGCCCTCATAGACAGTGGCTTTATTAGTGTTGTAAATTTTGTAAAACAGGTAAGTGAAAGATGGCTTACTTCTTGTTATGTCCCGTTTTTTAAAGCTTCTTCTTTTTTTTTTCTTTTTAGGTTAATACAATCTGTTGGAATGACACTGGAGAATATATTTTATCTGGTTCTGATGACACCAAACTAGTAATTAGTAATCCGTACAGCAGAAAGGTGATGTGGTTAAATATCTATAATTTAATGATAAAGAGCCTAGGAATGAGGTGGTTGTAATTGAATTACGTAGGTTGGGTAATTGAATTAGATTATACTCTTTATTAAATTTAATTGTGTAATTTAGGGACTGTAGTTTCCTTTGGAATATGAAAGATTTTTGTTTGTGTGGTTGGTTTTTGTGTGTGTGTGTGTGTGTGTGTTGTTGTTGTTGTGAGACAGAGTTTCTCTGTATAGTTGTGCCTGTCCTGGAATGTACTGGAACTCACTATGTAGACCAGGCTGTCCTCAGACTCACAGAGCTACTCCTGTCTCTGCCTCCTGAGTGTTGGGTTTAAAGGTGTGCACCATTGTGCTCTGCTGGAATATTTAATATTTAAGTTTTCAGTGTACTTTAGATTAGAAAATTTAAATGCCCTTTACTTTATCCAAGTGGGCAATAGACAAATGATATCTCAGTAGCGTTATTTGAACAAAAAAAGACATGGTTTTTTTTTTCCCCATACATAAAGGTATTTGAGTAAATCTTGTTTATTGTTGATATTTATTCCGTAGCATTCTGGAAATAATTTTTTGCTGACACAGACCTGCAATCCTAGCACTCAGGAGGTAGATGTGGAAGGATCTTAAGTTCAAGACTAGTCTGATTTACAACATCAAGACTGTGCCCTAAACCATCCATTACTCAGCACCCCATGGGCTCATATAATAATATCTCCATTTTTAATATTTGTGAAGCAAAGGCACTCTCCAAATTACAATTTTTTATATTTAAGAGCACTTTAAAGCTGGACGAGGTGGTGCACACCTGTAATCCCAGCATTTGGGAGGCAGAGGCAGGCGGGTGTCTTGTGAGTTCAAGGCCAGCCTGATCTATAAAGTGAGTCCAGAATAGCCAAGGCTACACAGAGAAACGGTGTCTCAAAAAACAAACAAACAAATAAATAGCAGTTTATAGGGCAAATATTCACAGCAGAATTAACAGCATACATTATTTAAATGTATTACTAGTTTTCCAGAATTGGGGTTTGAATCTCTCAATAAAGTCTTGTAATATCATAACATTCTATATGTAACAACTTAGGGACATCTCAAATATATTAATTTTAAATATTTAACAGAAAAATTAGAAATATTAAAGGAACTTTATAGTTAAAATCTTTGTAGATGATAATAAAGTACTCTGAGGAGCTTGTCAGTGTATTTAATATATCTACTTTTACCATCAGTTTTATATGAGAGATAAACTTAAGTTTTTAAATTCATCATTTTATGTGTGTGAGCATTTGGTCTGCGTGTGTGTGTGCATCTCTTGCACACTTAGTGTCCACATAGGTCAGAATCCCCTAGAACTGCAGTTAAGGATAGTGTGAATCACTAGGTAGGTGCTGGGACTGAGCTGTCTCTCCTAGCCTCCGGGATAAAATCTTTAAAAATATAAGTTTTTTGTTCTTGTCGTTTTGTTTTATTTTTAGACAAAGACTCACTATGTCTCGCTAACTGGCCTGGAACTTGCTATGTAGACAGGCTGGCTTTGAACTCACAGAGATAGATCCACCTGCCTCTGCTTCTCCCATTGGGATAAAAGGTGTACACCACCACTCCCAACTAAAAGTAAATTTATCATGCAGTCGTTGTGAAGGAAAATACCACCAGTTTCTTTCTTTTGACTCTTAAATACTGTGAACTTTTAAATTGTTTTTTTTTTTTTTTAATTTCCATTTTTGTGTGGTGTGGGAGGTATTGGTGTGCGTGTTTGTGTATACGTGGTTTTGTATGTATATTGGTACATGTGTCTGGGTATACATGCATATGTAAAGGCCCAAGGTTGGTGCCAGGAATCGTTCTCAATTGCTCTATACTTTTTGCCCTGTGGCAGGATCTCTCAATCAAACCGTAGCATAGGCTATGGCTAGCTTGCTAATCTGCTTGCTCTGGGGTTCACTGGTTCTACCTTTCAGGGGTGGAATTACAGGTGCATGGTATCTACACTCAGCATTCACATGGTTTCTGGGTAATCCCAGTTTTGATCCTCAAACTTGTATGGCTTTAACCCTGAGCCATTGCTATAGACTTATGTTATTCTATTTTTTTTTCTTTCTTTTTTCAAAATTAGTTCATCACCAGGTGCATGTGTGCGTGTGCGCGCACACAAGTGCCTGATGCCTCTGGAGGCCAATAAAAGGCATTGATTGGATCCCCTTGAACTTTAAGTTACAGAGAGTTGTGGAGCTGTAATGTGGATACTGGGAATTGAACTCTAATCAATTGTCCTTAATTTGAGCCATCTGTTCAGCCCCCACACATTTTATAACTTATTTTTATTTTAGGTGTATTAGTGTTGTATGTCCATATTTGTATGTGTACTGTGAGCATGCTGGGTGCCTAAGGAAGCCAGAAGAGAGACCACCAGATCCCTTGGAACTGTAATTACTGATAGTCGTTAGCTGCCATGTGAGCGCTGGGAACCAAGCCTACCTAGGTCCTCTGCAGGTGCAGCAATCTCTCTTAATCTACTCTAACACCCCTACCTCCTCTCCTGCTTTTTACTTTTGAAAGGCCTTTCCCAGCTTTTTGAGACACTGTGTAGCCCAGGCTATCCTCAAATTCAAACTAATTCTCCTGCCTCATGTCCCAGCTGATTGAATTAAAGGTGTATAGACTACTCTGCTTGGCTCCAGCCCTAGATTTCTGCATTTATCGTTAACTAAATGGCTGGGGTAATTAACTTTTAAAAAGGAAGGGTTTATTTCAGCTGTGGCTTTGGTGGTGTTAGCTCATGGCTGATTGGCTCTGTTGCTTTGGGTTTACAATTGGGTAGCACATCACAGCTGAGGCTAATGATAGTTATACTGCTACCCTCAGGAGCAGACAGTGAGGAGGAAGAGGACCAACACTAGGATCCCACAATGCTTTTTTTGTTTGTTTGTTTCTTTTCTTTTCTTTTTTTTTTTTGGTTTTTCATGACAGGGTTTCTCTGTGTAGCCTTGGCTGTGTTGCACTTGCTTTGTAGACCAGGCTGGCCTCGAATTCACAGTGATCCACCTGCCCCTGCCTTCCAGAGAGCTGGGATCACAGGTTTGTACCACCGTGCTTGGCTCCCAGGATGCTTTTCAATTGTATACTTTCAGTGAACTCTCAAAGTTTTCACTTTCTCTTAAGTATTTATACTCTGGGGCCAATTCTTTAAATAAATGGGCTTTACCATCCCCCAGGGTATTGTGTTCAAGATCCAGACTGTTGTGAATTTTCCCTGCAGCTAACTTTTTTGTCCCTAAAGCCTTTGAGATAATTTGTGAATTTACAGATTTTTACTCAGTATATTATTATATTTTTCATGGTAGTATATTATGATGTTAGGGTTTGTTGTTTTTTTGTGTTGAGACAGGGTCTTGCTGGGTAGCACAGGCTGTCCTGGAACTGGCTCTGTAGCCTACTCTGAGTTTGTGCCCCAGTAGTGCCTCTGTTACCCAGGAGCTGAGATCACAGGTGTTTACATCCATGTTGTGGGTATTTTTCTCTGTGATGTTTGCTGCATATTTGCTCCAAGGGACACAAGCAGACTAACTTTACATCTGCATTTTTACAGTTTTCTCTTTTTTCTTTTTTTAAAGGCCCAAGAGAAATTTCTGTTCACTTTATACTCTGTTGTAGAGGTAGAAATACCAGGTCATTAAGCTGGTCTTATATTTTGCTACTGTAAGTAATAACTCACTATCTTAGAGTCTATTTCTTTTATTGTTAAAAGTATATTCTTAGCATAAATTCTTAGAAATAGAGATGCCCCGGGCGTGGGTTGACACGTAAATACTTTTGTGAGTTCTTGGTGAACTCTTCTCCTTTACTATAACTCAGCATATCCATAGTCCTTCTTGTAGAAGCTGTTGTGCGTCTTCATCATTTCCAATCTGTTGAACAAGAATTGGAATCTCAGTACATTTTCTGATTCCTTCATGAATAAAATTGAGGGGTTTGTTTTTCATAATTTTAAGGGTTATCTTTTTATTTGGGGGCCATCTGTTCAGGGTTTGCCTTTTTAAAAAATTAGGTCTCAGTTATTTTTTTGATCAATTTTTAAATATTAAGGATAATCAGTTCTTGATCTGTACTGTGTATTGCAAATATTAAATGCTAATATTAACCTTATTCCATCACAGTAAGGAATTGGATGTTTGAACTTCTGTTATTTGCTCATCTTACCATTTTATTAATTTCATTTTGAGTCATGTAAATTCAGTTTATTATCTTTCTTTTTCTTGAAAGAAATTGGCTTAATCATTTAGTGTATTCTGTTTTAAAAGTCAATCCAAATAGTTTTTTTTTTTTTTTTTTTTTTTTTTTTTGTTACCAAGAATTTATGAATGGGAGAAATAAACAGTTTAAATAAGGAGAAGTTTGCAGATTGCTTTTTATGGAATTACCTCAATTACTGATAATTTTCTTAGAACAAAAGAAAATAAGTGAGATTCTGATGTTTTCTTAAGTAATTTAGTTTGGAATGAAGACAGTAATCTTTGGTTGGGGATGTTAATGAGAACGTATTACTGGTTATAATTATATTAAACATGAGTGTTTCTCATTAGGAAAATAAGTAATATTTTGAATTATATATTATTTTTTTTTATAGGTTTTGACAACTATCCGTTCAGGGCATCGAGCAAATATATTTAGTGCAAAATTTTTGCCATGCACAGATGATAAGCAGATTGTATCTTGCTCTGGAGATGGAGTCATATTTTATACTAACATTGAGCAGGATGCAGAAACCAACAGACAGTGCCAATTTACGTGCCATTATGGAACTACTTATGAGGTACAGGGCGGTGATTGTGTGTGTGCCTTTGTGTGTGTATGTGTCTATGCGTTTGTTTACATGTGCATCTACATTTTTAGCTATAGAAATTATTGGCAGATTGTATTTCATCAAAGCATTTTTGAAAGTATATCATGGTAGATTATGTGGATAAAGTTATAAAAGTAAGATTTAGTGTTAGTATTGTAAGATGAATTTGCAATTGCTTAAACAACCATGCCTTAAACAGATACTAGCTCTTCCCCCATTTGCATTAGTTAATTAATTTATTTTAAAATTAATTTTACGTTAGCATACAAAGATAATGGATTTCATTGTGGCGAGTGTCAGCCTTTTAAATATGCTCCTTTTACTTTGTTAAATGGTTCTATAGTAGGTTTTGTACTCTGAAATGCACTGCCTTACAGAGATTCATTTCTGTTGTCCTTACTGTATAAGTTTATTTTGTGTTGTAGTAACACACTAAAAAGAAACAAAAAACCCAAAATAACAACAACAAATTCTTTATGAGACAGGGTCTCACTTTGTAGCGCTTACTGGCATGAAATTCATTTTGTAGATCAGGCTGGTCCTGAACCCAGGAAAGCCCAGCTGCTTCTGCCTCCCAAGTGCTGGGGTTAGATGTGTGCACCCCACCCCTTGCCTCCCTGACCCCTTGTCTTCATCCCATGTCCCTCACCCAGATACGTTACTTGGCTTTTGAGTCAGAGAGTTTCATGTACCTCTCCTGGTTTCAAGCTTGCTGTGTAGCTGTGGACGACCTTGAATTCCTGGTCTTCCTGCCTCTGTGTACTGGGAATTACTGCCATAGGCTGCCACAGATGGTATGACTCCGCCTTCCACACGAAACCTCACTGTGCAGCCCAGGCTGAACTAGAGCTTGCTATTTAGGCCAGGCTGACTGGAACTCAAGATAATGCCTCCCTTTACCTTCCCAGTGCTGAGATTAAAGGTGTGTGCCACCATGCCTGGATAGCTTGAACCTTTTCAAATGCCAGAATGTGCTGATTCTAAAGAGTGTATTTCTCCTTCTTCCCTAATTGTGTTATAGTTTCTGTTGTATAGTGGTTGGGACTGATTTTATAAATTTTGTTATTAGTCTTTGTGTGTAGTCACCAAGTCTCTTATTAAGTCAGCAGCCAGAGTGGACATATTTCCCAATTTGCTGTTAACTTCCAGGCTCTGTCAAAGAGCATCACTCATAAATGTTTTTTTTTAAAAATGGATTCCTGTATTTTTTAATTTATTTTGTATTTATTACAATATATTTGCTTTGTATCCTAGCTCTAGCCCCCTCCCAATCCTGCCCGCCCTCATCTCCTGCCATGCCCCTCCCCAAATCCACTGATAGGGAAGGTCCTCCTCCCCTTCCATCTGACCCTAAACCTATGAGGTCTCATCAGGACTGGCTGCATTGTCCTCCTCTGTGGCATAGTGAAGCTGCCCGGCCACCTTCCCTTGATAGGTGAGGGGAGGCAGCCTTACCACTTATAAATGTTTTAATGGTTCATATTGTAATTGCTTGAGTGAAATTTGTTTTTCTAAACTAATGAACTGATTGGATCAAGGAATTAAATCACTTGTTTAAAAAAATACTTTAGGAAATATGTGCTCCTAAGAATTTGGTTTGTTAGACTCTACCCAGCAGTGTATCAGAGCAGATGCAGAGACTCATAACCAAACTTTGGGCAGAGTGCAGGGAATCTGATGAAAGAATGGGGAGATAGTAAGACCTGGAAGGGGACAGGAGCTCCACAAGGAGAGCAACAGAACCAAAAAATCTGGGCAGAGGGGGCTTTTCTGAAACTGATACCCCAACCAAGGACCATGCATGGAGATAACCTAGAACCTCTGCTCAGATGTAGCCCATGGCAACTCAGTATCCAAGTGGGTACCCTAGTAAGGGGAACAGGGACTGTCTCTGACATGAATTCAGTGGCTGGCTCTTTGATCACCTCCCCCCGAGTGGGAAACAGCCTTACCAGGCCACAGAGGAAGACAGTGCAGACAGTCCTGATGAGACCTGATAAGCTAGCATCAGATGGAAGGGGAGGCGGACCTCCCCATCAATGGACTTGGAGAGGGGCATGGGAGGAGATGGGGTGGGAGGGTGGGATTGGGAGAGAATGAGGGGAGAGGGCTACATCTGGGATATAAAGTGAATAAACTATACTTAATATAAAAATAAAAATAATAATAAAAAAAAGAATTTGGCTTGTAGCTGAGTGCCTCCCAGCACTCAGGAGGCAGAGGCAGGTGGATCTCTGTGAGTTTGGGGCCAGCCTGGTCTAAAAAAGTGAGGTCCAGGGTAGCCAAGGCTACACAGAGAAACCCTTTCTAGAAAAAATTTATTTTGGTTTGTAGACAGTAGTATATATACCAAGTGAAAAATGACCTTTTTAATTAGTGAAGTTATCAGAGATAAGTCAGCAACAAGTTGTAAATACATTTTACTGATAAAATGACATCATAAGTAAATAATTAAACACTACTGACTTGTTGTTGGGCTACAATAATCACATTTCTCACAAATGTGAAATGAGCCAAAAGTCGTATCGTCCTTGACATACATATTTCACACATTTGTGTTAAGTGCAATTAACTGTGATGTATAGTCTTTATTTTGTGTTGATTGTAAATTTGGTCAATAAAAGCAAAGAAATATCAATACTTAAGTTTTAGAGAAACAGACACAAGTGGCTTAAACAACACAGATTTATTTGATTATTCTGCAAGTCAGGGATCTAACATGAGAACTTGGCTCAAATCCAAGTGTTAATGGGTCTGTGAGCTTCTGTCTTTACCTTTCCTGCCTCTATAACCTTTACGCATGTTTTGGATCAGGGTTTCGTCCTCTGTCTTTTAAGCCAACAGTCTTCATCTTTTTCTGTTTGACTTTTTTTGTTATCTTGTAGTTTTTTTTCTGACAAAAACAATTCTTCTGCCTTTCTTTTTGATCCCTAATGTGCTTATCATTATTTTCGGTTCATACGGGTCATTCATTCAGCATAACCTTCCCACTCTATTATCTTAACTTAAACATACTTAAAAAGGTAAGTTGTTCAAAGTTTATGATTTTGGAAAATCTTATATGAAGTTATATTAAGTTCAAAGTAATGTCATTTTACAAGGCTGTTGTATCCGTATTCTCTGTTTGAAATCATGCTTTGGATAAGTCATAGTTAATGACTTACGTGGATAGTTTTCTTGAGTTTTACCTTCATGGATGTGTGAAACAGTAGCAGTGTGTTTCAAAGCCACCTTTTTAATTGCAGTAGTATTTCTTGTACTTTTGTCTGTTCTTCAGATTATGACTGTACCAAATGACCCTTACACCTTCCTGTCCTGTGGTGAAGATGGAACCGTTCGGTGGTTTGACACACGCATCAAAACTAGTTGCACAAAAGAAGACTGTAAAGATGTAAGAATCCAAGTTTTTACAAGTGATACAGAAAAAAATAGTTATATGATTCAGTAAGATATCTTTGGTGATAATTTTGTTTTGCTAAAATTTTCAATCACAGTTTTTTTTAATTTAATGAGGTTAATAAACTTTCTGTTATACATTTAAATATAATTATAAGGGGTAAAAGAGATGACTCACTCCTTAAAGTACTTGCTGTGCAAAATGTAAGAACCTGAGTTTTTCCCGGTTGCAGTGGTGCATGCCTATAATCCCAGCAATCAGGGAGGCAGAGACAGACGGATATTTGAGTTCAAGGCCAGCCTGATTTACAAAGGTAGTCCAGGACAGCCAAGGCTACACAGAGAAACCCTGTCTCACAATAACAAACAAAACAAAAACAAGCAAAAAAAGAACCTGAATTTTAAATCCTAGTGCCCATGGGCATGGCAAGTGTGTATCTGTAATCCTCTAGGTATATCACTGGAGCTGACTAGTTAGCCAGCTAACAGAAGTGATGAGCTTCAAGTTTAGAGACTCCGTCTCAAATAATAAAAATATAAAGCAGTTGAGGAATACCCATGACAGTGACCTCTGGCCTCTGCACCCATACTCACACATGTATTCGAGTGCTCACCCCAACTCATACAGACATGTTTACACATGCATACACATATGCAAAAATAAATGTGACAAAAATTGTTTTAGTATTATAAAAACCTGGAGAATTTATCAATATGTCTCATTTATTAAGTAGACAGTTTGGCTTACCAGAACAGCAGTGATAAAGTGGGTGAAAATTTAGTATCTTTCCCTCCATCTTTCATTTTCTTCGTTTTTGAATTATTTTCAAGACAGGGTTTCTCTGTGTGTTACCCTGGCTTCCTAGAACTCACTTCTAGACAAGGCTGGCTTCAAACTCAAAGATGGCCTGCTTCTGCCTCAAAAGCGCTGGGGTTATAGGTGGGGTTACAGTGCTTGGCTCTCTCTCCATCGTTTAAAAGACTGTTTTTTTCTTGTTTCTAAAGAAATAAGATTCTCTCAGTGTGTTACCAGCCAAATTTAACTCATATCCCAAAAATCTGCCTACCTATTAGTATTTATGAGTTAATAATATTTAAAACTTATTTAAAAAAAGAGGCCTCAAAAATTTTTTTTTGGCCCTAGACAGTGTCTCTTGAGAGTTCTATCTGCCATGAATGATACAGAGGGTAGTGAATCTTTACGAAGTCATTAAAGTAGTCAATGAAATAAAGAAATATTACTCATTTTTTTTAACTACAAAGTAGCAGAAACAAAACAAAGCCAAAAATCATTAACTAAGCCAGTGAACCTAGAGTAATAAAAAAGAATATGTACTCGAAACAGATGAAGCAGGAAACAAAAAAGTAGAAACAGAAATTTTAAACACAAAACTTTGATTTTTTTTTTTTATGTTATGTAACATACATAAACACATACACACATTGGATGGAAAGCTGAAATAAGTTAGAATATTGGGCATTTAGGGACAGGGATCTAGTTCAGTGGTAGCTAGCATGCCAGAGGCCCTCTATTTGAACCTCAGAACTGAGAAAAATTGTGCATGTATAAGATTTTCATATACACATTTTATATACATTTCCTCAAAAGAATTAAAAGCTGTTTTTAATACTGTGGAGTGGACCACTTAACCCCTCTCCCTGCGGAGTGGTCTAGAGGGTTGGGGCAGACAGCTGAGGAGAAGAAAGTAAAAACAGGACCCTCTGCAGACTCAGTGCAGACAACACCATCAGTGCTGGGATCTTTGAGAACTTCTGGTATCAGGATTGGGACCAGCTCCAGACATAAAGGTGAGACAAGAGAGTTGAACAGTGAGAGGCTTCAGGTACATAGGTGAAGGGGAGGAGAAAGCCACAAAGGTACTTTGTTCTTCTTCCTTCTCATTTGTCATTTTCTGCTTCTCCAGCGTAATCCCTGAGTCATCCTGCTTACAGGAGGTAGCAGAAAGCCCCTCACCTTGGTACTTTCCCTTTCCTTGACAGAATTGCTTTGCCTTTCCATATTCTGGGAGGCAAGCTCATGCTGGTTACTGTGGACAAAGGAAATGGCCTTGACCTTCCTCCAGGGGGTCCCCTCATTCTGACCTAGGTTGCAGGCTATATACATATTTTATTTATATATAGTAGGTTTTTTGAGAACAATTGCTCTATGTATTTCTTAGTAAGTGGGGGTACTAAATGCTTTTAAACCATAGTGCAGTCCACATTTTAAGAGGATGCAGGTGTGCTTTTCTAAATACTATTCTTAAAATAATACAAGAGTTAAGAAGTGGAAGGATTATTTCCTTGGTAAAGCTTATCATATATGTAGGAAAAAGTATAAAGAAAATTCGGTGACTATAGAATGATTCTTAGCTACCAAGATGTCAAAATTATGAACTTTGTAAGTGTATATAATAGGAGTAATACTGTGTATTTCCCTGTTGGGTAAATATGTTAGAAATAAATTTTAACAGTCTTAAAAAGTAAATCACAAGAAAACCATATTGTTGTTTTCCTTCTTGTTTTTACTGACTGAATTAGCATGTCTGAGGTAGGTTATTTTCTTATAATTAAGTAGAAAGTATTTTAAAAGTATTCACTTCTACATAGCTATATGTACATGGTCTTGTGTCTGTCTTTTGTAGGATATTTTGATCAACTGTCGGCGTGCTGCCACATCTGTGGCTATTTGTCCCCCGGTACCATATTACCTCGCTGTGGGTTGCTCTGATAGCTCAGTACGGATTTATGATCGGCGAATGCTGGGCACAAGAGCTACAGGTGAGGAAAAAGTAAAATTTGAGACCGTTTAAATAAATTTTTATGGTATTTTACATTTGCATGGTTTTTAATTTTGTTGTGTTATTTAAATACATATATTATTCTAAGAAATATTTTACTAATTGTTAAATACTCTTTTTAGGCGTAGTGTTGCATGGCTGTCATCTCAGCACTCTGTTGCTGGAGGCAGAAAGATCAGAATTTCACAGCCATTCTTGTTTGAGGCCAACATGCACTACAAGAGACCTTGGCTCAAAAAGAAAGAGAAAAGACTCTATTGGGATGATACTTTCACAGTTTATCAGTTCATAATGAGCCGGGGAGAGGGTTCAGTGCTTAAAATCATTTGCTGCTCTTCCAGAGGACCTGAATTTGGTTCCCAGCACCCATGTTAGGCAGCTCACAACTTTACCAGATGGTTTCCTATTGTCTGTAACTCCAGTTTTAGAGCACCTGATGTATATTCTTCTGATCTCCTTAGGTCCCTGCATCCAGGTACTCTTATTCCCCCTCCCCCGCTTCATTATTAAGAATAAAATCAGGTGTGTGGAGACATGACTCAGTGATTAAGAGCACTTGTTGCTCTTGCAAAGCACTGGGTTTGGTTCCTAGTGCACCATATTGTGGTTTACAACTCCAGTTCTAGGAAAACTGACTCCTGAGGATAGCAGGAATGCATGTGGTATGACTGTGTGCACAACACACACACATACACACACACATTCAAGCAAGCACTTATACACATAAAATAAATCTGAAAAAAAGATTTATAATACTTGATTTGTTTCTTTCCCAAGGCTGCCATAGTAAACTATCAAAGTGAGTCTCATAAACCAATAGAAATTTGTTTTCTTGCTGGGTGCAGCAGCGCACACCCATATTCACAGAACTCAGGGAGGCAGAGGCTGGCAGATCTCCGAGTTTGAGGCCTGTCTAGTCTACAAGGCAAGTCCAGGACAGCCAAGGCTACACAGAGAAAACATGTCTGGGGTTGGAGGAGCAGGAAAGAAAGTTGTTTTCTTGCATTTCTAGAATTTAGCTTTCTGAAATACAGATGTCTTAGGGTTAGATCTACTGGAAACTACTAGAGACGAAAGGAGACTGTTCTGAGCCTCTGTTTTGCCTTACGATAATTCCTGCCAATTTCTGGCAGTGTCATGAGAATACTTCGGTTTATAAATCTATGTTTCCTGAAAATAATTAGGAAACATACTGATAAAAGAAAATGGATTTATTTACATTTTGGCCATATTTTGGGGAGAATTCCTACTTTCTCTCTGCCTTTTCTTTTTAGCAGTAGTATTCTATAGAAAGGCTGAAACTAAAACTAGGAAGTTTAGGGGTTTACAGCTTAGGCAGAACTATGTAAAACCTCTTCTAGGAACTCTTGTTCTTCCTCTAACTGTCATCAGGGCTTTAGCCCTTCCTGCAGCCAGCATGCCAGTCCTGGTGAAATTCTAGTTCTTTAGGACTCATTGTTTTAATAGTCTTAAAGCCACAGAGGGAGACACAAGCGTCTCTCTTTAGAATATCTCCTTTGCTGCCAGTGCAGTTACAAAATGAGACTGAAATTCAATACTGCAGCAATAGTCACAGCACTCTAAACTAAGCAGATATAGATGTATGCTACATATTATTTGATTTCCAAGTCCAACTGCAAAGATCACACATGTTTACATGTGCGTGTACATTTATACAAAATGAGTACTAAATACACATTTCACATTTGTTCTGAAATTAGAGGTGGACTTGGGCAGAAAGTACCAAGTCCGTAGTAATCAGCCTGGGTTATCGCAGGGGAGGGAATACTAGATGAGAGCTTTTCTGCTCTGTTTTTAATAAATTTGACTTCTTTGACAGTTTCGTGCATTTATACATTTTGATCATACCCAGCCTCCATTCTTCTGTATTCTCCTCCTCCCATTTCCCCCGAAACCCTCTTTTTCTACCATGTCCTTCCTACGTTCATGTCAGTTTCCCTCCATAGCCTGTTGAGTTTAGTAGAGTTACTTAAGCATATGTGTACGAGTGGCATATTTACTGTATTATGGGCAACTTACCAGTGGCTACATCTGAAGAAAAATTGCTCCCCTTCCCTAGCCCATTAACTGCCGTAGTTCTTTATGTAGAGGTGGGGCCTCATGGGCCACTCTTCCATTAGTGCTAGACTGTCAGTGGGCTTTTCTGTGCAGGTAACCACAGCTACTGTGAGTTCATGAATGCAGTAGCTGTGTTACATTCAAGACAGTGCTGCACGGCCTCCCTCCCCCTCCTCAGGCTTGGGCTTTTACATTCTGAGAGCCTTTCTCTTTTAGACTGTGATAAGGAGTCCTGTCAATTTGAATATGCACATTTTGCATGAAATGGTAAGATAATATGAAATTATAGGCTTATTGCTATAGAGTTATTGCTCTCAACAAAGTATGGCAATTTACATTTTTATCAGGACAAGATTCAACTATTGAGGATTACACAGCTTTGGGATCCTTAGAATCTAGCATTTGTGAGCCAATTTAACTCTCTTCTACCATACTAAATTGTACTGAAGACTACCAAAGGTGTTAAAGATGGGATTATAAACTAGACATGATGGTCAATGCCTATTACTCCAGGACTGGGGAGACTAAGGCAGGAGAATCACGAGTTCAAGGCCAGTGTCAACTATGCAGCCAGGTTACAGGGTTTCAAAATGCCAAGGACCAGAGGTGTAGCTCAGTGGTAGAATACTGGCCTAACATGGGCATTCCACTATCACAAAAAGTTGCAGCAAAAATAATAGCATATTACCTTTAACATAATTCTAGAAGTTCTGTTTAACGGAGTCAGAACAATGTTGCTTATTCAGGAAGACCTTTTTCATTTTTTTGGAAAAAAGTCAGATTTTTTTTAAAAATTAAATTATCTTTAAATACATAATCTTCTTGAGATCTTTAGTGTATTATACATATGCCTTGAACAATTGTGCTGATAAACAAAAACACTTATTTGGCTTACCTCAGTTGCAGTAGTTATTGATGATTTTAATTTAGATATTCTCATTACTGATTTAATTATAGAATATTACTAGGCCAGGAAGAAATCTCAGTACATTCAACCTAATTGGGGCTTAAAACCTTCAATGGTGTGTTCTCTAAAGAATGCAAGAGGGCTGGAGAGATGGACCTGTGTTTGATTCTCAGCACCTACATGGTGGCTAATAACCCCCTGTAATTGCAGTTCTAGGAGATTCAGTGCCCTGTTCTGGCCTCTGTGGACAGTGTATACACATGGATCATACATGTGGTCAAAATGCGCATACATGTAAAAATAAATTTAAAAAAAAATCTGAAAACTTTTTTAATAATAAAGGGCTCTGTCATAGAAAATTATTTTCTTACATTGCATATTCTTTTCAACTTCACACTAACTTTGTATTGAGTTGTATATACTGTGCCCCAAGCCTATTAATATTTTGAATTCTGTGTTGAAAGCAAGAAGTGGTTTTAATTTCCTGGCACCTATGAATTATATTAATGAGGATATTTATTTTAAAGGGGTTATGATAATATCGTTTCTTCAAAAAATAGACAATGGCCAGGTGTGTTGGCACATGCCCTTAATCCTAGCACTCCAGCTGCAGAGATAAGCAGATATCTGAGTTCGAGGCCAGCCTGATCTACAAAGTGAGTTCAGGATATTTAGGATAGCCAGCGCTCTGTTATACATAGAAACTATTTTTTGAAAAACAAACAAAAAAAGAAGATAATAGTTTTTAAAATAAATAAGTGATTCAATAAGTAAATAACCAATAAGCAATTAGTGTGCATTCAGTGTTAGGTTTCCTGTTACAGAAGTGATCCTAATTGAATGAAAAGTTTGGAGATGCCTTAGTACAGAAATCAACTATTAATAAATGATATTTCAGCAAATCATGTTATCTGAAATTTTCAATGATGTTACGTGTTGTTTGTTTATATATGGTGTGTGTTTGTCAGCTTGACACACCTGGCAGGAGGGTATCTGAAATGACGAATTGTCTTGGTCAGATTGGCTTGTAGGTAATTGATGTAGGAGGGCCTAGGCTGTGTAAGAAAGGTAGCTAAGCAAGCCAGGGGATGCAAGCTAGTAAGCAGCCTTTCTCCATGTTCCTGCCTCTGCTTCTGCTTAAGTTCCTGCCCTGACTTTCTTCAGTGATGGGTGGTGATTTGAAGTATAAACATAATTAAACCTTTACTTCTCAGGGTTGGTTTTGCTGTTTGTGATAGCAAAAGAGCTAGAATGTATGCTATCTTTATACCATTCTATTTTGTTTGCTATAAATTCTTGGCTGTTAAAGAAACCTCTTATAGATACAGAAAGTGATAATTTGGGTTTAATTTGCTACATTATTTCATATATCTCATAATTCACGATAAGAGTTTTTAAGATGTTTATAACTATTAATTTTGAATAAATTCCTATCATTTAGGGAATTATGCAGGTCGAGGAACTACTGGAATGGTTGCTCGCTTTATCCCTTCTCATCTTAGTAATAAATCATGCAGAGTGACATCGCTGTGTTACAGTGAAGATGGTCAAGAGATCCTTGTTAGTTACTCTTCAGATTACATCTATCTTTTTGACCCCAAAGATGATACTGCACGGGAACTTAAAACTCCTTCTGCAGAGGAGAGGCGAGAAGAGGTAAGTTTACTCAAAACTAGACTTTTTTCATAATGAGATGCCTGTAATTCCCAAGAGAAGCAGGACAGATGATCAGTTTAAGATAAATTCAAGGTCAGCCTGGTCTATTTATGATGCTGTCTCCAAAAACAGGAAAAGAAAAGAGTTAAGTGTTCAAATGAGTAAGTAAATACATTGGTTTTCAAAAAGTTGATGATTTTTAATCATTTAGGGAACATGAAAGAATAGGCTAATAAATTATATAGGACAATAGGAATAAAATGAGCTAATTTTCAAAGAAAATACATAATACAAAACTTTTAACTTTGTAAATGTTTGGAAACAAGTCAATTAAGAGAGTGGAAAATGTGATGATAAATGTGTAAGGGATTGAGTGGGTTCATGCAGCAAATGCCACCCCTTACCATTTTCACACGTAGGCAGCAGCTCCACTCTCTCTCAGTTGTGCCTCTTTTTTACAGAGTAAGAATAGCCATGGGTACATTTTATAAACTACACATGAGAAAGTGGGAAAAGGTTCAAGAAAGCATTTATATAAAAGCAGGTGAAAGACTTGTATTACTATGACCAAAATATAAACGTGGGAAGCTGGAAATAGCACATTTTGGCAGCATTCAGCCATGGGAACATGTTCGGATTAGTTTGTTAGGGTTTTTCTAACATGCCTGCCATGTTGACCTTTAAAAATGTTTATAGATTTAATTTTGAAAATTTTTATATTTGCTTGTGTGTATGTTTGTACATCATGTGCATGTTCATTGCATGCCAGAGGCCAGAAAAGCATGCTGTGGAAGACTGTGAGCTGCTGTGTGGGTGCTTGGAACCAGACTTGTCCTCTGGCAGCTCAGCAAGTGTTCTTCCAGCCACCAAGCCATCTCTGTAGCTCTGACTTTGACCTTTTTATTTTACAATGACCTATGCTTGTTTATAGTTTGGCTTTTTAAATGTTTTTTTTTTTGTTGTTGTTTTTTTAATTAATTCTTTTCTTCTCTCTCTGTGTAGCATTGGCTGCCTTGGAACTGTCTCTGTAGACCAGGCTGTCCTTAAACTCAGAGATCTGCCTGCCTCTGCTTCTCAAGTGCTGAGAATAAAGCCACAGGCCTCCACTGCCTGGCAAATTAATTAATTTTTAACTAATAGTGGTTTGGCATTAGCTGGTGTCTATTAATGAGCTTCTGGTGTTTGATTTGTGGTACTAGGGGTTGGACTAGAGCTTCACATGATAAGCAAGCACTGAGCTGTATTCTCAACACTTTGTACCTTTAAAGGAAGAACAGTAGCAAATGTATAATTCCCCTGAGATGAAAAACTAAATTCAGTTGTGTAAATACCAGTAACATGACTGCTTCAAGGTGTGGTTGAGGGGAAGGTTTTTATTGTCGATAGGAGAGAGAACAGCCAGAGGCATCTGGAAAAATCCAGAGTAGAGAGAGAAAGTGTTAGACTAAACCTGGCCAGCCGATTGCATCTGCACATGAAAGGAGTGAGAGGTGCAGACTAAGAGAGGTAGACACAAGGAGCATAGCCAAAAAAAGCAGGCTTAGAAGGAGAAGTGAGCTGCTGGGTGGGTGGGTGGGTGGAAGGGAAGCCCATGAACTGGAGAAGTTTAGGGTAAGGGGTGAGTGAGAACAACCAGGACTCCAGCGTGGACTCTGAAATGTGCAGCAGGCACTCGTGATACTGAGGGAGCCTGGAGGCCAGCATTTACTCTGGTATGCTAACAGGCACCACAGATAGCCATTTTTTTCTTTCTGCCAATGATAAGGAATGGCTCCCTAGAGGGGGAACAGGCTTCACAAGCCCCTGAGAAATGCTGGCTTTTGTCTAACCTCCAGAATTTGGCTTGACAATTGTTACTGTAAAATAAGAAAAGTATATTTTGTAGACGAATTTTGGGATGTTGAATGTGACAGTTTATGTAAAGCAGGAAAATTACAAGCTATTTATGAGTTCATTGGACTGGTTGAAAATGAATTCTGCTGTGTCATTTTGTTGTTGCTATGTAATTTCCCCTTAAGACTTGTGTAGTTAAGTACAGTTGCAGTCAAACTCTGTGACTAAGAGATAACAAAAAACTTGGAAGAGCATAGACATTTTAAGTGGGCTGGCCAACTTTGCTGGTTTAGCCTCCTTAGCCAAAGATGATTATTTCATCAGGATTAATGCTGAATCATTTGTTGTAGAGAGTAAACACAGACACCTGTTAGATTTTATGATTGTCCTATTACTTTGGGCCGGGCAGATATTTCTACCTACGTTGTCTCAATAACCTCACCATCCATCTCCCAGCTCCCATCCAATGCCATCTGCCTTAACCATTCTTACTGGACTACCTTTCATCCATAATCTTATGAATACTTGTTTAATTCTTCAGCTGGGCCTTTCCACGCCATTATTGGAGTCCTTTCTCCTGACCCAGCCACATGGTTCCTTCTCCACAATAACCTATCATGGCCTCTTCCTGCCTCCTCTCTTTCCGCTTGTCTCCTTCCTGTCATTCTCCTGTCCTCTAAAGCTCTGGAACCTTAGCCACACCTACCCCATTTTGCCCTGTCCAGGTATAGGCCATTTAATCAGCCAGTCAGGTAGGTTTACACAAGGATAGGTGTACCCAGGAGTAACAAGCATCAATACACAAGCGTCAGACCAATCCCAACAATAATTTTTATGGAGATGTTTTTCCTATTGTGCTTTGTTGAATTATCCAAATTAAAAACAATAATTCTAAAATATGAGTTATAAAAATAAGTCATACTTTTATATTTAACCAATCAATGTTGTTTAGTGTATGTAACTAATGAGCTATCTTCTTATTTTCCGTAATTTTTTCATTTGGTAGTTTATGATAAAATGTTGACATTAACATTTAGATCATCTATTCTTAATCCAGCAGTTATCAGGTCCCTACTGTACACTTAGCTCTGTATTAAACTTGAGAAAATGGCCCCTTCATTTAAGCCAGCAAAGCTCCAGCAATCTCCCATCTCTGACTCCCTGTTCCCCAAGAACTGGGGTTCCAGCTTGCCACACCCAACTTTGTGAATAGATCTTAAGGATTTGAATTCATGTTTATGTAGCAAACACTCTTACCTCTGAGCTACCTCCCTAGTCAAAATCAACTTTTGAAAGTTTTAAATTAAGCTTCTTTGGGAAAACACCAAATGGCGAATGATGCCAGTGCAGTGAGAGGGCCCGGAGGACTAGGGGCCCAGGATTAGGAGGTATGGTGGCTTCACGGAGGCTTCATCAGAGAATTAGGCGGTGGTCTGAGGGTCTGCTGTTGTGGTCGAAGTCGAGGCTGCAGGGCATGTGGAGGTATAAAGCCGAAGACAAGGAGTGGATCCGTCACCAAGCTGGACCACCTTGTTAAGGACATAAAGATCGAGTCTTTGGAGGAAATCTACCTGTTCTCCCTGCCCATTAAGGAATCTGAGATTGACTTTTTCCTGGGTGCATACCTAAAGGATGAGGTTCTAAAGACCATGCCAGTGCAGAAGCAGACTTGGGCTGGCCAGCAGACCAGGTTCAAGGCTTTTGTTGTTCTTGGAGACTACAGTCATCACGTGGGTCTTGGTGTTAAGTACCAAGGAGGTAGCCACTGCCATTTGAGGGTCTCTCATCACAGCCAAACTTCCATCATCCCTGTGCGGAGAGGCTACTGGGAACAAGATTAGCAAGCTCCACACTGTTTTGTGCAAAGTGACAGGCCGTCGTGGCTCTGTTTTGGTCTCATCCCTGCCTACTGATGATCACTGATGTTGATGACTGTTGATGGCTGCACTACCACCTTGGACAACTTTGCCAAGGCCACCTTTGATGCCATCTCCAAGACCTACAGCCACCTGACCCCAATCTCTGGAAAGAGGCTGTGTTAGCCAAGTCTGTTTATCAAAAATTTACTGATCATCTTGTGAAAACCCATACCAGAGTCTCTGTTTAGAGGACTCAGGATCCAGCAATGGCTACCACATAAGGGTTTTTATACAAGAGAAATAAAGTGAATTGAGTCTGAATAAAGTCTGAAAAAATAGTATATAATTGTATATTAAGAAAGTAATGCAACTATTGTCACTGTTAATACTTGAATTCATGTTATTACAAATACGAGAAAATAATTAGGTTCATATCTGCTTGCATTACTAATGCATCTTTTTGCTCATACTCTAGTCTTCATCACCTAATATAACCCTTTCTCGGTCTCCTTTCTAAAGTTTTGGTTTTTAGCTACCCTTCTCTCTCTCTTTCTCACTCTGTCTCTGTATACAAATACACACATACACATCAGACTAGGTTCCTGTATGAAGCAGAACATTAAGTTTTTGTTTTTTGTTTTGTTTTAGTTTATGTTCTGTGCTTGACATTGTACTTTCTAGGCCCATCTTTCTTCTCAGTTGCCATGATTTCATTTTTCTTTACAGATGAACTATATTTCATTGTGTCTGTATGCCACCAGTGCATATTCAGTTCATTTGCACAGAGCAGCAGTAAACATCGATGAGCAAGTAATTTCTGTGGAAGGCTATGAAGATCTATGTCCAAGAATTGCATAGCTAGGTCATATGGTAGTTCTATTTTTATTCAAAGTAGCAGAAAATGTTACTAGCTAAGAACGATGGCCTAACATGGAGAAAGTTTGAGGCAAGTGATGGAGGGGTAAGATAGATAATAGGGAGACCTGGAGAAGTAAGTGGTCTGGAAAAGGTAAAAATAACATGCCATTGTTGTGTGTGTAGGCACTTAGAATATGTTAGCACCCACTGTATGGTGGTCAAGGTGATTGACTGCCTGCCGTCAGCTGGACAGTGATTAGAAGTCATTGTCCATAGTTCATTCTTCCTTTTCTTGTCTCTCCCGTCTACATCCTTTTCCTGTTATTGGGGATTAAACTCAAGCGAGTGCTCTACCATAGAACTGTATCTCCTATAGACAACCATTGTACTCCTCCCCTTTTCCTCCCCTTTTTTTTATTTGGAGAAAAGGTACCACTGAATTGCTTAGGTTGTTCTTAAACATAGCTTAAGTAGGTCTTAAATTTGTGATCGTCTTCTTCACCTGGGGCTGCAGACAAGCACCAGTAACCCAGCTTACATACGTACAGTTTCAGAGTTGCGTTTGTAGATTGAGGATAGTAAGTGTGGACTGTCACACCAGTGGATATTCATCATTATGACCACTGTAAAGTACTGAGACAGCATTTAGAAGTGTTTCATGTGTAGATCCAGCGTCTCATTTCCGTACTCAGGGGATGGAAATGCACCATTAAATTATGCTGTAAGAATTGAGGACTGGGGATTATTAATTTCATGGTGCAGTACTTGCCTAGGATGTACAAGGCCCTGATTCAATCCACATCACCAGAATGAAAGCTGAGAGCAAATTTGTTCCTTGAGAGTCACATAGAATCTACTTATGATTACCTTTTAGTTACGACAGCCTCCAGTTAAGCGCTTGAGACTTCGTGGTGATTGGTCAGATACTGGTCCCAGAGCAAGGCCGGAGAGTGAACGAGAACGAGACGGTAACTATACTTTTGCCAGCTTTTTGTGACACAGTATTTAAAGGTTTATTTATTGTCATAAGCCAGCTCTGACAGGACAGGTAAATTAAGGCAGGGTGTGGACTCAGCAGACTTTTTTCTGAGGAAATAAAACCTGATTCTCTGGGGTGGGCAAAAGACTCTCTGGGGCTGGTAAAAGAGGGAGGAAACACACATTTGGTGGATGAAGCAAAGCTCCAACAGCTTTACATATATACATAATATATACACACATTTAGTGAATGAAGCAGAGCTCCAACAACTTTATTTTTTCCCCTACAGCTTATATACCCCAGCAAAATCTTTCAAGCAATATAAAAATTACAATGTGCTTACATTTTTCTTCTAGTGAATGATTACAGTGAGACATGATCAAACGTTTTACATGTTACAGGTAAAAAATGTTCTCAAGAATCCACATACATTTGTATCTAAGCAACTTGTTATAGATTAATGAAGTGTAAGCAAGCAAGGTATTTTTCTCAGCTAGTTTCTCTTACTGGCATGCTGCAATTTGCAGTTATAAAGAAAGGATTAAACATTTATCTTAAAATTAATCTTATAAAAATCTTAAGAATCACAAATCTTAATTTTTATATATAAAAAGCAGTCATTTTTACTTTAAATCCTCAGGGTGTATATCTACTCTAACAATTTTTTATTAAATCATATATCAGAAAGCCAAGAGCCAAATAGGTTCAAGAAATTAATCATCACTTTAATCACCAGCCCAGCTTTAGCAAGAAAAGCACACCAGCTTTTGGGTCAGGCTGCTGTTGAAAATCCCTCGCTCAGTTATCAAGAGTGTACATTTCTGAACTTTAAATTGTTCCCCAAGATTTTTATCTCAAAGCCACTAACAAAAACATTTTGATCTAACTTTATTAACAATCTACATCTCTAAATTATTTTCATGGGTGGTGGCTGAATATTGATTTGCTCCAGCAACAATATTTGGAAAAGATCAGTCACTGATATTGCAAGTGCCAATGAAACTGCCCCCATGAGGGGCTGGAATCTCCCTTAGAGTTTTCATACAACTTTTAGATTATGAGGGAAGTGGTGACCATGAGGGTGACCAGAAGAGTGAAACTTGTAACAGCATGAAGTCCTCAGGACACATAGTCCTCAGGGGCTTGCCTCTCTGGTGCTAACTGGTAGGCCACAGTCCATGAGTTCTAAAGCTGTCTTGCTGTTCTTCACAAGGCCCCCAACATTAATCTTGTCTGTATGTGTACCATGGGTGTGCCTTGTGCTGCTGGAGATCAGAAGAAGGCACGAGATACACTGGCACTAGAGTTATAGATGGTTGTGAGCCCCCTTATGGATGCTGGGAACTGAACATGCATCCTTTTGAAGAGTTACAAGTACTCTTAACCTCTGTTGTCTCTCCAGCTCCTTAGTTCCGTATTTTCTTCTGATGATGCTACAATGAAATCTTAATAAGAATATTTTGGCAAAAATTGTCTAAATACATCATTCGGTAAATTCTGAGAAGTGGAATGACTGAATCATTGGATATGTATATTTAACACATATATATACACACATATGTACACATACAAACATGTATACGTATATATGCACATAGTTATATCTAACTTTATCTGAATATACTTTATTTAATGAATCTATAACCAAAATCTTGTTGTAATTATTACTCAACCTTTTGTAATCAAAACAATATTCCTAAGTATATTATTCTTGATTGTATTTTTAATATTCTTAAATATAAAGTTACAATATGTGAAGGTGCTTACATGCTGTAATCTCATTAAATTCAAGGATAGCCAGGGCTACATAGTAAATTTATGACCAGTCTAGACTACAGATTGAAGAAACCTGATCTCCAAAAAACAAACCAAATAATTACATGATTGTGTAATTATTACATTTTAAAATCTGACCTCGTACTCTTGGTTTGTTTTGACTTTTGAACCAGGGCCTTACTATGTACCTCTGACTGCTCTCATACTTGTTTTGTAGTCCACACTGGCCTCCAAGACAAAACTGCCTGTGACACAAGTCACAGTTCCAAGTCTTCCTCCTTCAGGCTCCTGAGTGTTGGGTTTTTATATTTCTACTTTAAAATGCCCTTGAGATCCTCAGCACTATAAGAACATAAAATGTTCTTAATATTTCCCACGGTGCAACAAAATAAAATGCCCATTAAGGGGAAAAGCAAGCCAATCTGTTTATTTGAATACAGAGGAGATGTGAAGTTGAAAAGACAAAATACATTCTTTGTCAGCTAGTTGCAAATACCTGAGGCCATAAAACACTGTATGGACCTGATCTCTTCAAATACCTGAAACTTACAGTAACTAATAAGAATTGTTTCAGGGAAATTGAGATAAAAACTCAAGGTTACTTCAATGTCTGTGTTAAATGATAATGTTGTTGTTGTTTGGTGAGATGGCTCGAGGTTAAGAACACTGAGTTCAATTCCCAGCAACCACATGGTGGCTCACAACCCTCTATAAAGGTGTCTGATGCCCTTTTCTGGTATATAGGTGCACATCAGAAAGAGTACTCCTACATTTAAAAAAATGTTACATTGAGAAAGTAAGTCTTTCCTTCAATGTATTCCACTTAGAATTCATAAACCCTTCATATTGGTGGAGCAGGGGTGGGAGATAGTTACTAAGAACAGGCCTAGGTGGAGATGAGAACCCAAGCTCCTGAAGGTCTTACTGTACACACATGTGGATGTGATGGGAATCCTAATGACTTTTGATCCATTCATGTAGGTGTTTGATTTTTAATTTCTAGCATTTTAAAGGCCTTCAAATGTAGGTCTTTGTATTATTAAAGAAATGACATTTTGCCAAACTTATAAAATTTATGTTGTGATAGGAGAGCAAAGTCCCAACGTGTCATTGATGCAGAGAATGTCTGATATGTTATCAAGGTGGTTTGAAGAAGCAAGTGAAGTTGCACAAAGCAATAGAGGAAGAGGAAGACCTCGGCCCAGAGGTAAATTGTCTTACTAGTTAAAGTCATTAGAAAGCTGGCAAAAAAAAAAAAAAAAAAAAAAAAAAAAAAAACCTTTATGGAAGATAATTGTTTGTTTTGTTTTCTTTTTTAGTTTTGGTGTTTTGTTTTTCGAGATAGGGATTCTCTGTTTAGCCCAGCTGTCTTGTAGACCAGGCTGGCCTTGAACCCAGAGATCCACCTGCCTCTGCCTCCTGAGTGCTGGGATTGAAGGCATGTATCACTACACGCAACTGGAAGATAGTTTTTGTTGATATCATCTAACTGATAACTGAACTGTGGTTTGTAACCAAAGTTGTCATAGTTCTCTTCTGATTGCACTAGACCCAGCTTTTTAAAAATGTATACAGTGTTGTGACTGCATGAATGCCTGCATGCCAGGAGAGTGCACCAGATCTCATAATAGCTGGCCATGAGCCACTGTGTGGTTGCTGGGAATTGAACTCTAAACCTCTGGAAGAGCAACCAGTGTTCTTAACCTCTGAGCCATCTCTCTAGCCTGCTAGACCCAGTTTCTTAACTTAATTAAAAACAGAAAAGGTTTCCAATTTTAAGTCCATTTTTCAATACACTTTGAAAATGGAAATCTATAAAACTCTAAAGATAAATGTATGTATAATTAGAAAATTTGATTATTTAAAATTTTTATTTATCTATTTGGTGTGTGTGTGTGCATGTGGAGGTCAGAAAACAACTTGGGAGATTCAGTTTTCAAGCTCAGTCAGGCTTACCAGCAAGTTTCCTTACCTATTTAACCATCATACTGGTCCAATATTGATTATTTTATCAAGAATGTTATTGATGCTTATCCCTATTAATTAGACTATTTGCTTAAGTGAACCAAATCACCAGTGGCTATTGATATACTGAGTGTCTTAGATAGGGTTTCTATTGCTGTGATGACCAAAAATCAAGTTGGGGAGGAAAGAGTTTATTTGGTTTACTCTTCCATATCACTGTTCATCATTGAAGAAAGTCAGGACAGGAACTCAAACAGAGCAGGAACCTGGAGGAAGAGGCCATGGAGGAGTGCTGCTTATGACTTGCTCTTCACGGCTTGCTCAGCCTGCTTTCTTACAGATCTGAGCACCACCAACCCAGGCTGGTACCACCCACAATGTGGAGGGCTGTGCCCTCCTACATTGATCATTAATTAAGAAAATGCTCTACAGGGTGGCTCACAGTCCAGTCTTAGGGAAATATTTACTCAGTTGAGATTCCCTTTTTTTTCAGATGACTCTAGCTTATGTCAAGTTGACATAAGACTAGCTAGTACACTGAAATTTTTTGTGTGTTTGTGCACTCATGTAAGTATTTTCAGAACGTTTCTGTAGAGTTTCATTTTGTGTTTGTCTTTTTGCATTTAAAATTTGACTTTGAGGCTGGAGAAGTGGCTGAAGATCAGGTAAGAGATGGTTAAGAGTAGTTAGTAGTCATGGAACCCACATAGCTGCTAACAACTGGCAGTAACTCTAGTCTTGGGAGACCCCACATCTTCTGGCCTCTGCAGGCACATAGGTGCATGTCACAAAAACACTCAGACATAAATATATGTAAAGTATAAATAAACAGATCTTTTAAAAATTTGATTTTGCATTAACGTGTGCTTTTTTGAAGGTGGAACAAATCAGCCAGATGTTTCCTCTCTTCCTACTGTTCCATCAAGTCCTAATTTGGAAGTGGGTGAAACTGCAATGGATGTAGATATGCCAGCTGAACAACCTCTTCAACCTTCTACACCCTCTACAGTGTCAGTTCAGGCTCAGGCAGCAGCATCTGCCGTCGAAAGCCCTCATTCTTCTTCTTCAGACAGTGAACAAAGGCCGTCTGCCGAGGCTTCTGGACATCACACACACCATCAGTCTGGTGAGGGTGTTATTCTTCAAGTAGGCTGTTTACATGGTGATCTCTGATTGCAATACCTTATCATCTGTTTTGAAAGATTTTAAATTACAGTAACTTCTTGCTGGAATAAATGTTCAAAATTAGTTGTAGTATGCAAATATAACTTAAGCACAAAATTCAAGTGTGTCTAACTTTTTGAATGTTTACAGATGGTGAATCTTTAATTCATATGTTATTTTGACATAATTTAATACACTGAAGGATTATTTTCATATACCATCATTGACCAAAATACTGCTGTAGCTTTAGTTGGTTTTGTGTCTGTTTTAAAATGGCAGTCAAAATACATTTCATTATTATTAATATTTCCATTGTATTATATTTTCAAATTTTCCTCCGATTATTAAATATTTTGAAAATATTCAGAGTAGTTAATCTGCAGTGGTCCCTTCTTGAAAGCATAGTATGCTTTACCAGAAGAATTATTTTGCTATTTTATATATGAAAAATAATTATCTTACCAATTCTTTATTATTATGGCAATTGATATCAGTTTCTAAATTCTGTTAACATCTTTTTCTCAATATAGTAACTTCTCGGTTTTTTTTTTTCTTCCCCAACTGTGGAATATACTATTATTTACAATGACTTCAGTAAATATATATGGTCTACTTGAAATTTTAACTGTATACTTGTAAATATAGTAAATAATATATTTATTACTTCTAAGTTTTTTTTAAGGAGGGATTTTACTTGATACAGAACAAAAATATTAGCAAGGACTGTAGCTAGGAATATAGCTGCTACCTAAACTATGACCTCAGATGGTTTCCTAGCTCTGCCTCCAAGCTATCACTGTTGCTAGATTGCAGACAGTGGGTGTTTTAAGTATTGTTTTATCACTGTCTCTCATTTTTGGTAACTAATAATCACATTTTATGGGAATAGAAGTCAGGTTCAGCTGACTTCTATATATATGCTATATATATATATATATACACAGTTTAATCAAAACAGTAAGCTAAAGATGAGCTAGAAAGTCAGCTTTTTCATATTTCTCAAATCATTTCAGCCTGAGGGAGAATAAAATATATTGAATGGTTTGAGAAACAGAACCAGAGGAGTTACAAGTACATCAAAACAAGTGAAATCAGTAAAGATAAGAAAAAATTTTAAAATGCTTATTTTGATTTTATATGTGTGTTTTGCCTGCACTTATGTATGTGCGCTACCTTTGTGCCTAAGGGAGCCAGAAGAGGGCATCAGCTTCCCTGGAACTAGAGTTAGACCACTTGTGAGCCCCCAAGTAGATGCTAGGAACTGAATTCATGTCCTCTGTAGGTGGAATAAGTGCTCTTGACTGTTGAGCCATCACTGAAGAAGCCTCAAGATAAGAATTTTTAGAGAGATAGTGTTCTTGCAATATTCTGAAAGACTTTAAGCAATTGTAAAGTAATCAGGAAACAGTGACAAGACACTGTAGCCAGTTTAAATTGTACTAGTCATAACTAGTCCCAGTTGTTTCTTAAGCACATTTGTGAGTTAAATATTTGTGGAGCTTTTTAAAAACTTTTTCACAGCTATGTCATGCATTTTCACTCAATTTAAACTGCTCAACTTCTTTTAGTGATATACTAAAAAAAAAACTTCTTTTACTGATATACTAAGCAATAAAGAATATTTTTGTGATAGCTGTATGATCATTGTTTGAATATATTTGCTACCTTTGTCCATAGCATTTCAAAGTAAAGGAAATGTTTTCAGTTAGTAAATTGAGAATTTTGTTTTACTTTTATAAACTGATTAGAGTATTTTCCTGTTTCTGAAACTATGTATGCTTATATTGTTTTAACAGTAGTCCTTCCGTTATCCTAGAGTCTTAACATTTTAACAGTAAGGGCTTACTGTTTTTGATTTGTTCTTTTTCTGACCCTTTGTCTTTACCAAATTCAGATGGCTTAATAGGCTGGGGATTGTCCATTGTGGGAATGCAGTAGGTGGGAATGTCAATTTAGAGCTGTGGTTTCTGTTATGCTTTGTGTAGATCTAGAGAAAGTGGAAATGACTATTTCTCTATACCCACCTTGCTGTGGATTTCTCTATATAAATGTTCATTCCTTTTCTTCATGTCACATGCCTTTCCTTTTATCATTTTTAATAGTTGAAGACAAGGACAGTGAGAACGAAAGCTTGCCCAAGTCCTTCAGGGTCCTTCTGTTAGTCTGCATCCGAATCTTTTGGTGATGGTGGTGAAAGTCACACCACAAATTTTGGTGAACATGTCAAGCAGTTTGTCTTTTGCTGCCTTTACTGTCCAACTCTAAGGATGTTTGTTTAAGCCTTGCTGACTTTTAAAGTACTCTGGTTTATCCTGATCCCCTCCATAAGCTGCGAACTTCTTCACAGTGAAGAGCAAAGCACTCATTTTCTTGACCATTGCAACTTGCTAAACCCCACATACTGCTTGTCTAGAAGAAACGTGTCTCTTAGCATACCTGGCTGGAGCAGTTCGAACCAGGCCTTCCCAGCTTCCCAGGGACTGCACTCCTGTTCCAGTGCCTTCCAAAGGACTACACTTTTCACATTATTGCCTTTTCTCCTGGATTTTTCCATTTAGCCTCAAACATACTGTTACCTCTTAAGAAAGAAAGAAAGCCTCTCTTGATCAGTCCACATTCCTCCAAGTAAGGCTGCTCTACGTCTCTTCCTCAGCTCTCTACAACTCCATTTTCACCTCCACCGCCATTTATTCATGACCCAGCTGAAATTTGCTTTTCTGCCTCCTTTTCCTGTAGAAAATTTGTCAAAGTTACCAGTGAGTGCCATCTTGCCAATCGTGAGAATATTAGTACCTCAGTAGATTTGTGGACTCAATTGCATTCACATAGTTTTTCCCTTCTTCCCTTTCTTGGCATTTATGCCATACTTACCTGTTTGTTCTTATCCATCATGGCTTAGTTTCTAGTAGTCATTGTTAGTTTTTCTTGTTCTATCTACTTTTGATTGAGTATTGTGGTTGAATCTCTTAGGAGACTCTCTTGTCTTTTCTACATAAACTTTATCTATCTGGATTTTTCTCTAATGTGACTCCCAAAGGTACATTTAAGTCTTATCTTACAGCCCAAGTTTCATATTATTTTGCTAATTATTATTTGTGACTCCATCTTGGTTGTTTTCAATGATGTTAAATTTAATAATATGCTCAAAGTAAAATGTAATACAACCTCCAGTCCTTCCCATCCCTTTGTTTCACCTTAGTCCTTTTCTTTTAAGCTTTTCAAAAACTTTGATGTGTGGGTGGGGTTGGGGGTGGGGTGTAGACCTGAGGACGACTGTCATGAGTCTGTTCTCTTTTTCCACTATGTAGGTCCCAGAAGTTGTCACACTTGGCAGAAAATGCCCAAACCTGAGCCATCTCACCAGCCTGTACTTTAGTCCTTTTATGCCTTAATTTTAATAACCCATGATACAAAATACAAAATATGTTCTTTGATTTTTATTTTATCTCATACTCAATTCATCAACCAGTCTTATTGCTACTGTGTCTAAATTACATTCTACCTCGTTCCATTTTCTGTCATTCCTATTTCATAGTTGATATCCATGCACCTATTCTTGTTCCCTTATAAGTTATTCTTCATAAAGAGGCCACAGTAAGCATTTACAATTGGTGTTTATTTGACAGTTTGGCTGTTTATACCACTCTGTGAAAGCTAATTTTAAGTAGAAATAGAGCCACAAAAGATAATACTTGAAACTCCTTGCTGTAGACTTCTGAGAACTTAGACGACCTGGCTTTCGTAAAGAGCTTCTTTGCACTCTTTCTATCCCCAGATCATCATCATGTTCTAGGAGCAGTGATCTCCTTAGTCCTTTATTGTGCCAGACTCTTTTTGCCACTTTCTTTGTTTTTAACTCTTTTTTTTTTTTAAGATTTATTTATTTATTATGTATATAGTGTTCTGCCTGCATGTACACCTGCACGCCAGAAGAGGGCACCAGATCTCATTATAGATGGTTGTAAGCCACCATGTGGTTGCTGGGAATTGAACTCAGGACCTTCGGAAGAGCAGCCAGTGCTCTTAACCTATGAGCCATCTCTCCAGCCCTGTTTTTAACTCTTAAGTTCTGTTTTTTTTATTTTTTAATTAGGAAGATCTTCAGCTTAAATACTTCCCAAGTGGCCCCATAATTATCTTAGAGTCCCCTTTCTTTTCCACTTTTCCTAAAAAGTTGCATTTTTTAAATAAAACCTTGTTTGCTTTATAAAAGTACCTATTAAACACAAAGACTTTTTTCATTTTGATTAATTCGTTTGTGACTTCTTTTTACTAGGCTGTTTTCAAAAAGATAGGACATTCATTGCCTATTGAGTCTGTAATAAGACTATCTAACCCCACCTCCACCCCCACCAACAGTCTCTAAGAATGCAGTAAGAATATTATAAAACATCAAATTGTTTTTAAGGTGGCATATGTTTATATTTTAGTCTTTAGAATTTTAACCCTACTTCATTAGCTGTTTTTGTTTTTTTGTTTTTTTTGTTTTTTTTTAAGGAAAGAGGTCCTTACACTTTGAATCCTCCTGTATGAGCATCTGGAGAGCTGTGATTACCTGTGTAGCCCACTCTCCCTGACTATTAGCTTTTGGTATGTCTGATAAACTATTCTCTTTGAGGAGAGTCTTTTGAGATAATATCTCATACCCTAGCTAGCTTTGAACTCTGGGTTCTCCTGCATTTGCTCCCAAGTGCTGAAATGATAGCCATTCACCACTACCCAACAAGATCTCCACAGTTAACCACATGTAGGAAACAATCTGTTTAGTTTACCAGTCCTATCATTTGGGGTCCATGTTTTTGCTCTACAGTTGTAGGCTGTATAAGGCTAAATATATATATTTTTTGCCTTGTTATAAAAATATTTTAAGATAGCTTATAGAATTGTTTCTAAACTCTTGTTATAAAGATAAATGAACAAACCAGGATAGCTAGAACCTGGCTGGATAAAAATCAGATGAGG